CGTGCTGCTGCTGCAGTTGTTGCTGCTGCTGCAGTTATACAGCTCGACGAAGAAGAGCTCCTTCTGTATCTTGAGGTCCTCATCTTCTTCTTTCTTCTTTTTCTTCCTTTTCCCTCCTTTTTCTTCCCTTTTATACTTTTTTTATTTTATTAAATAAATATAATTTAATTATATTAAAACATCCATGCGCAGCAGCAAAAAGCTGCACATACACCCCGCCGCTGTCGACTCAACCAACAGCAAAGGAGGGCGAGTTCGCCGTGCTGCTGCCGCCGCTGCTGCTGCTGCTGCTGCTGCTGTCGCTGCTAGCTGTTTTGTCCGTGTCTGCCTGTCCTTCTTTACTTATTTTAGTTAATTATATTATTTTATTATATATTTTTACTATATATATTTATATATTTAATAAAAATAAAAAGAAATAAACAATTAAATGCGTCTTTAGACCTCCAGATACACCCGAGACCATTGGGGTGTATACGCAGCTGGCCGGTCCATGTCCAGCTACAGAAAAAAAAGATTTTTTATCTTCTTTTTTATCATAAAAAGGGAAGAAAAAAGAATTATTCTCTTTTATTTATATTTTATATTTTAAATTATTAATAAATATATAAATATATCTATAAATAGACCGTAAATACACCCCAATTTCCTCTTTTTATCTATAGAAGAAGGTCAACACTCCGATACAACAGGCCGGAGAAACCTTCGTTTTCTTCCTTTTTCTTCCTTTTTTATTCCCTTTTTTATTTATATTTATATATATTTATTTATCTTCATTTAGTTTATTCTTTTTATTTATTTAAATACCCTTAAATAGTACTTTTATGGTAATATATACCTAAGAACACATAGATAACCGCCGGCCTACCGTTGCTGACTAATAAGAAGAAAAGAGAAGATATTATTTACTCTTTTTATTTACTTTATTTATTTATTATAAATAATTATATTTATATTTATATTTATATATATGTTTGTTTATATTTATTTATATTTTTTATGTTTGCATGCAGAAATATAATTTAGATCTATATAGACACATCTATACACACAAAGGATCCGTATACATATATATATACACAAATAAACATACATATACATATACATGTATATATGTATATGTATGTGTATACACATATATACATATATATACACAAATAAACATACATATACATGTATATATATGTATATGTATGTGTATACACATATATACATATATACATGTATATAAGTATATGTATATATGTATACACATATATACATATATATATATAAATATATATATA